ACTCGAACATGCAATGTGCAATGTCTTAGCTGGCTGCCTGAGCCGTTGTGTCACACTTGTTATCTGGCACGCTTGCTTTCATAAGTCATAGTTAAGTCGCTTTGCATGTAAATTTCTTGCGAATGCTTAAGAAGTGTGTTGCCTTACTTGCTTATTAATTAGTGAGAACTTGGCACTACAACATATTTCAATTTGAGCGAAATTTGTGATGATAAATTTTGAACCTTTCCTTGTTAATAAATAAAACTCGAAAAATCAGCGTTATGCTAGGAAATTCTCGGTTTTAATAATATAAGTTACTTTCATTTATTGCATTTATTGCGTAAATATCAAAATCACGAATTATCTTACCATATTCTTCTTTTAATTTACAAAATATATCTTACATGTAATTATTAAACAGATACATAATTATTAATTACATGGACTTATAATTATTAATAAAATAGACAATTAACACGTTGACTGCTATAAAATTACTGGAGATTCTTAATAAGATAAATACATCACTCGTAATGTATAGTGATATGATAATATGAATGTAACCCATAGGTTAGTTGCTCGAAAGCAAAACGATTATTGTGTGCGTCAGAAAACTAGTCTTATTCCATACATTACAATATTAACACGTTCGCTACCAGGGTCTGAGAAGAAAATCTTGTACCACAGCCTAGGATGTTTTTTATTAGAATATGTCTCCAATTGACATGAGTCTTTTTAAGCTATATTTATAACATAAAAATGTAATTATTTCTAGATCAAGTACATACTACATCTATTTTATTGTTTTTTAGTTCAACAATACTATTCGTTTCCAAATTTATTGCAATACGTTATTATAAACTAATAAAGAACGCACCGCACATCTGCGACGGTGGGCTCATACAAGAATCGGGATGCCGCATATATGCGGCGGTGATAACGAACATGTTAATAAATGAGCATTAAAAACACTGTTTTCACATAATGAGTATTGAACGTCACCTTAAGATGTTGTTTGCACATGGTAAGGACTCCCGTCATACACCTGGCGTACGTAGTAAATTTCAAAAGTTTTTGGCCTGATATACAAAATACGCGCCAATTTTAATATGCCGTTCGTGACACAAAATGCCATCTATGGAGAATGTAGTGCATCAGTTTCAACTTTCTACCTACCTTAGTCAGTTGGAGGTAGTTGTCGAAATAAGTCGTTGCATGTTCTGTGGCTAAAATGTTGAGAATTGAATACCACGCAGTGATAAAGTTTTTGGAAGGACTTTTCCAAGTGTAAGTAAAGAGCGATTGAACGGTGTTTATGGGGAAGCTTTTTCGTCACATTCAACCATAAAAGTGTGGGCTAAACAGTTTCGCCTAGGAAGAGAGTCCATTGAAGGTAATCCTTGCGGTCAGCCAATGGAAATAATGACTGAGGAAAATGTGTCTCTTGTCGAGGAGGAATTGCTCAATGACAAACGTTTGAAGCTAAAGGGAATCTCAACAAGGTTGGGACTTTCTAAAACAACCATTTTTTGGATTATTTACGAGAATATTCTCATGAAAATGGTCAGTGAAAGATGAGTATCCCGACTTTTCTATGTAATTCAAAACGTGTGATCCGTTCCTGGCAGTTTTTAGAGCTTTGTCAAGGGAATCAGAAAGAAGTTTTGGAATCCATTGTTACCAGGGATGAAACTATGGTACATTATTATGATCCTTTTTCTAAAAGAGACTTTATGGAGTGGCGCAAACCAGGCGAAGCACCGCCGAGAAAAATCAAGGTCTCTCAGTCCATCAAGATTATGACAACAATTTTTTGAGATTGCCATAGAATTCTCTTGATTGACTTCAAGGAAAGGAATATCACGGTGAATGCAAGCTATTATGCTTCACTTCTGTATCTACTGTGAGATCCCATGAAGGAAAAGAAGCAAGGCAAGCTGAGTCGTAGTGTTCACTTGCTGCACGACAATGCTCCAGTTCATACGGCTGTTGATAACGCTTCAGTGAAGGACTGTGGCTTCAAAGTGACTACTACTATTTTTTCTCAAAATTGAAGAAAGACCTTCGAGGAAGAAAATTTTTGAACAATAATAAGGTGAAAAATGCTGTTCTTGATCATTGTGCAGATAAAAGTTTGGACTTTTTTCAGAGACTTAAAAATGTTAATTCAAAGACATGAAAAGTGTATTAAAGTAAGGGAAGATTATGTTGAAAAGTAATACTGTTGTTTTCTTTCTATCACTTTTAAAAATTATTCGGGCCGGAAACTTTTTGAACTTACTAAGTAGTTTGCACTCTAAGGGATAATTTAGTCATATTGCTCATTACTGCATTTTATCATTATATATTTGCGATGATAAAAATTTTATTGTGAAGTATAATTACTAAACATGCGAAAATTTCCGAGTTGTTAACGTGTTAATATTTCTATGGAAGCAAGATGAGAAGTCAGGTTTTTCTCTTTTTTAACTGCATAATATTTCTCTGATTTTAATAAAATTTAGGAGAAAATTTTTATGTTCTAAAAAGAATATGTTTTTTGCGATTTCTTTATTATTAGATAATAGTTTTTTATGATGTGTCCGCAGAAATGAAAAATAATTTTACAGGGTGTCTGATGGTAGATACGATATTCGTCGCATCCTATAAATTAGATCAAAGTCAATATAAAAGTCCTGTATCATTTTAGAAACAACCATGTAAAATTTTATGTATCAGATTGGTCAATAATTCCGTGTGATTTTTTACCTATATATGAAAAACGATTTCTTTATAGAAGGCAACAACTTTAGTCAACAATGTATTGGCTGTTGTGTTCTATTATCTTTTGCCATCTTTTGGGCAGCTTCATAATTGCTCGCTCACAAAACTTCCTGTTTTTCTCGGCAAAAAACTGTTTTAAGTGCTGTGATGATTTCGATGGCTTTCTCGGAAACAAAGCGCTGTCTATTCAAGGAATTCCGAAGGAAACTAGACAGGTAGTAATCTGAAGGGACAGAATTTAGTGAATACGGAGTATGCAATAAGACGTCTTAACCCAGTTCCAATAATTTTTGCTGAGTTTGCATAGATGTGCGCGGTCTGGCGTTGTCGTAATAGAAGACGATATCCTTGCGATTTATCAATTCTGGACGCTTCTCGTGGATTGCTGCATTTAATTTGTCCAGCTGTGTACACATCCGAATTGATCGTTCTGTTCTTCGGAAAAAACTCGTAGAACACTCTTTTTATCTCACCAAATTAAGAGCATGACTTTGCTCGAATAAAGCTCAGTCTTCGAAATGCTTTTGGCGGTTTGCTGTGCTGCTTCTACGATCTTTGCGTTCGATGTTGTCATAGACGATCCATTTTTCATAGCTTGCCACCATTTGTTTAAAAAATGGATCGCTTTTTTCACATTTTTTGAGTGAATCACTGATGGAAATGCGTACGATTAGATGAGCTTACTTATTAGATGAGCTTTACTCAGTTCGTGCGAAGCACAAACATTAAGTTGGTTAATGTAGCTAAGTTGATGCGGATAGTTTTCTGCGCTCTTAATTTCGGTATTTAGAGAACGTCTGAAATCTCCCGCATCATATAGCGTGGATTGATGTCGATTAAAATCTGGAAGTGGACTTTGTCGATGTTGATCTCAACTGACCGGTGTCCAAGACCACCACCGAACGTGGTGTGTCTTGGACAGAAAAATCTCTGAAACTAAATCTCTCAAAGCACTTCTAGCTTACGCGTTTTTTCATGGCATTGTCACTATATATCGTACATATCTTTTTATAAGTTTCGCCGCGGATAGTACCGCATTTTTATTTTTTGTAAAATAAAAAAGCGTAATGTACACAAATGCTTGTTTTAATTATCCATCTTTCAAATGACGCCAGACACATAAAATACAACTAATCTTCATGTTGTTTTTTTTTAATGCACGTTGAAATGTTATTTGTCAATGATTATATGCTCCCCAAATTTGGACTGATCATAGAGCTAGATTAGAACGCCTAAAGCCATCTATCAGCTAAAACCGCACAATTATTGACTAATCTAATAATTAATTCGAGAAGATTGGTGAATTGCATGCGATGTGATGTATGTGATGAATGCATTTTATAAAGGCAACATCTCAATTCTGTACTTGCGATTCGTTGGAAATATTACTCCGTTGGAACATTACTTCGCCCCTCGTTATCAGTGGTGAGTGAGACGAATGGGGTGTTCAGGCGCCATCATTATAGAGCTCGCCTACTTCATCATGTGCGGTCGTTTACCCAACTTCTTTTAATTAATAACTCAAAATTTTATGTGGTTTACAAAATGATAAAGGGCTCTTTTTATTTTGATTAGGTCTCTATTCTGTAACTTTTATAACAATAACAGTGTCGTCGTTACGGTGCCGCTGCACAAGTATAATATATGGTAAAAAGCGCAACAATAATGTAACGATAACGACACTGTTGTTAAGTTACAGGCAGGTTAGTCGGATTTTACAAATGCACAACAGATGTTTTATTTACTGTCAGATTCTCTCTATATAGAAACTTATATAAATTTGAAATTTATAAAGGATGTTCCATTTTTACCACATTATTTTTTAATGGCAAATGTTTTGGACAAAATAAAGTCAATTTTTTCTTAACAAAAATAACGAAACATCAATAATTTTAAATAATAACGGCAATCAATATTTTAAATAAAAACGATTGACAAAAATGTTTTGCAAATTAATTTAAAGAAAGTCAAATAGATTTGAAAATACAGTTGCCAGCTAATTTCAGATGGAGTTTTAATTTAATTTAAATTTAATTTTCATCTCAAGTTTATTTACAGAGATATACGTAATTAAAGTTATTAACGTTAAAAATTAGAATTACAATAATAACTTTCTTTGATATTTTTATAAGAAAAAATCAATGTAAAAATTATTTAAATAATCTGCCATTACGAAAAAATGTGGTACGACAATGGTAGAATCTGTATAAAAAAGATGTGGATATAAAATTTATTAAAATTTTATATGTATATAGGTATACTCGGAAGCACAAAAATGTTTGACATTGTTGTCAACAAGACTTGGCGATAGAGATTTCTTTTATGGACAACAACCTAGCAAAATAGATGCTATTATATACTCATATTTGGCACCGTTACTTAAGGCTCCATTACCAAATCCAGTTTTACAAAATCACTTAAAAGCTTGTACAAATTTAGTTAAATATGTGTCACGTATATCGCAAAGATATTTCAAGAATGAATATCAAAATTATGAAAAACATCAAGCTGAAGAAAAAGCCGCAAGGTTAAAAAGAGATACTGATAATGAATTTCCAAATAAGAGAAGAAATCAATTTTTTGCTGCATTTATTGCTACCCTGGCAATGACAGCATATGCGTTATCAGCAGGAATTGTAGAGGTAAGAGTTATTTTACATATACAAGAAATATGAAATATTTTATGAATTATTGTAGCATATTTTTTACGTTATTTTATTCGTTTTTAATCTTTTCTTATTTTTCTTAAATATCTAGAATAGAGATAATACCAAACGGAAACACACGATATCGTTCAAGCAAGCCTAAAAAATTATAAAATATCAGGTATTTTTTTATATTTTTATTATTTTATTAGGTCTGTAAATATGTAATTTCCACAATTTTTTCATGAATGCGAAAAAGTAAACTAAGCCAATTTATTTTTGCACTATTTTGCAGTATGGTGACATTGACACAGCTTTATTAAAAACGGCGTATGGCGTATCGAGACGATAAACGTAACTTCAAAAATTGTATTGTATAAAATGGCTATGAGTAAAGAGCACATACGCCATTGTATTTAATATTTTGTATGAATTTCAGGAAAAAAAAATTTGGAAAAACCTTTGATTTGTGCTACTTTCAGCGAGAATTCATGTTATATAACATATGTAAATATTGGTTTAAAGATTTGAAGAAAATGATTTTGATTTGGATTTGAATTTTGATTTGGATTTTGATTTGGATTTTGATTTGGATGACCAATAAATTGCTTTTAAAAATGTGATGACTATTCTGTATAGAAGCACTATGTTCTATCTTTAAAAGTTGATATTCACGATGAAAACCTAAATCCGATCTAAAAATAACTTGTATCGCCTCTAAGAATAACCCTTTAAGAATAACAACAATTTCAAATTGATTATACGAAATGGATGAAAATCAAAAAGAAGAAAAGTGTTTCCCGCATGTAACTTTTGATTCCAATTTCTTTCTTTTTGAAATATATTGTTAAATACAAAAAAAATTTTAGAGATTTTTTTACACGAATTTTTCATATGTGCCTATATAAAGTTTTAGGAGATGGAACAATCTTTCATATATAATCTGACATATAAGGTGTCTGAAAACATACCGGAAATATTTCAAGGGTCAATTTGGGAATATATTTAGAGTTAAAAAGTTTATATAAACATATATCCTAAACTTAATTGTTGCCAAGTTATTATTTATTTCATAATTTAATCTTCCAGTATCCGCACTCAAAAGTTTATAGGAAAATATCATTATGTGCGGACTCCCAGTCCGTGCACGGCTACTGGAACGTGAAGTGGTCAAAATTTGAGTTGAATAAGGCTTACTAGATAAAGATAGTGTTGTTACTAGATAAAGATAGTGTTCTTACTAGATAAAGAAGTGTTCTTATATATACTGATCCAATACTATGAAGATATAGGGAGACCATTTTTTTTGTTACCGCGTTCGCCGGACTTCACTGAATTTTTATCTCTAGGATCACTTGAAACAAATGGTGTATGCAAGTGAAATGCAAACATTGGAAGAATTGTGTTTTAAAATACATCAAGCTGCGGATATAATTAGGATTAATCTAGAAATTTTATTAAGAACCCAACAGTCACTTCTACGACGTACGGTTATATGTATCAAACACAATGGTGACAGTTTTGAACATTTCTTGTAAACAAAATAAATAAAATATATAAGAACGCTTCTTTATTTAGTAAATCCTATTCATTTCAAACATCGGTCATTTAAATTATGAAATAAACAGTAACTTGGCAACGATTAAATTTGGGGCATATATTTATACAGACTTTTTGACTCTAAATACATTCCTAAATTGATCCTTGAATTATTTACGGTTTTCAGACATCTTGTATATCGACAATATAAATGAGCGATAATGTATTACGTAATGTATTAGGTGGTTGCATATGAAACCGCCCATTTTTGACCGAAAGAAAAGATAATGGTTTGGTAGCAAATCGACGAACTGGTTTATTCAAAATAATGCCTATCGGAACAGGCAACCTTGGCCCATTTTTCGGCCAACAATCGGATTCCCCGCAGGAAAAATTCGGGTTCTTTGGAGGCAATCCGGTCATCCAGCTATTTTTTGACTTTTTCGTACGAGGTGAAGTGCTGTGCCGTAAGCGCTGACTGGAAGCATCGACCGGAACAAATGGTAATCGGAGGGAGCGATGTCTGGGGAATATGGCGAGTATGATAGGACTTCCCAGTTCACTCCTTCTAAGTACTTCTTGATTGGTTGAGCAACTTGCGAACTGGCATCGTCTTGCTGCAAAATCAACTTGTCATGGCGATTTTCCCATTCTGACCTCTTCTCGTGCAGAGCTCGCTTCAAACCAGTTGCAGTCGATAACGAACCCCAGTGATGGTTCCCGACGGTTTCAGTAGCGGTTTCCGTGTCCTCAAATTTTTTGAGTGGTTTTTCGAGGTCCTTGTTGTCCATAAAAAAATCACCACTTTGGAAGCGGCGAAATCACTCTTTGCACGTTGTACTCGATGGAGCATGTTCATCATACTTTTTTTCTAGCAAACGATGCGTTTCCATAGGCAATTTCTTTCCCAGGAAATAATGGAGCATAACTTCCCGCAAATATGACTTATTTGGAACAAAACTTGCCATTGTAAACACAATCAAAATAGATGTTAAACATGTCGCACACAGACTCTATAAATATGTCATCATGTGTATTGCCAACTTTCAATTCGTAATGTACTTAACGCCATCTATTGTTAGCGGGCGTTTATATATGCAATTACCTAATATATTAACTATAAATAATTAATTGCATCACGCGCATAATAACTCAATTATAATTATGACTCAAGACATTTGTATTTCTGGATTAATCTCATAATTGCTTAAGAATTCTGAGTAGTTTGTTGAGTTAAACAATTGAATTTTTATTTTTTACATTTTATAATATGTTTATGTTCTCTAAATATAATCCTAAAGAGATTACGCGATATTCAGTGAAATAGCGGAGATATTCAGAATCTTCAGAGGTGCGGCGCAAATAAAAATCGGAGCGCCCGGGACGATATATGACGCAGCCATCACTCTTCTCTTATTTTTTTATTCTCACACTTTTTTTACTTTACATCTAATTCTCTTCTTATTTCTCCTTAACATCATTGAGAGTTTCTATTGTAACATTCGTAGAAAATCCAGAGGAAACAGATATAAAATATTATTGTGGAATTGTGAATAATAATTCAGTGAAAAATATGAAAAAAAACAACGTTGGCAACTTTTTTCTACAAGTGCTCTATAGATGACAATCCACAATGTACGTTGCTCTATATGAAAAAATAATGTAAATGCATTGCATAGAATTACTAGAAAACGTTGCTAATTTCAAACACGATATTCTTCTTATATCATAACTTAGGATATAAAATGCGCAAGCAAAAATGCATCTGATTTAATGAAGTCGATCTGATTTAAAGTAGCTAGATAGTACTGGTTAGATAAGTTTTCTAGCTAGTCATTAGCTCGTAACTCGCCAAATATTCTTCTTTCAAGTATTTTGTAATCTAACTACTGTCTAATCATTACATATAAAATATGATAGTAGATGGCGCTGCCTTTCTAAAATATACAATTTAATTACTATCTCGCCACTAGCATGTTTAAGCATGGTTGTCAGCATATCCAAATTAAAATTATATTGCTATTAGGTGCTTGAATTAATTCTCGCTGTTGACTAATAGAGGTCAGTAGTTGTGCTATTTCAACATGGCCAAAAGTGACTGTTGATGTATATGAAAGTACTGTCAACACATTTTAATAATCAGTGTGTGACTTTAAATCATAGTACAAAGAACACAATTTTTTATTACATTGTAGATGTCGGGTTTCGAACTAAAAAAATGAGCATTTGCGGGAAGCATTACTTTTGTGTTTTTACCTCAAGAAATCTGCTGCTGAAAGTTATCGTTTGCTAGTGGAGACTTATGGGAAGCATATTCTATCTGAAACAAATTGCAGAGATTGGTCTAGATGATTCAAAGACAATGATTTTTACGTGAATGACAAAAAGCGCTCTGGTCAGCCAAAAAAGTTTGAAGATAGAAAATTGGAGGTATTATTGGAAAAAGATTCATGTTAGATGCTCAAAGAGTTGTCGGAAAATTAAATGTCGATGAGTCAACCGTTTTCAAACGTTTAAAGGTAACGGGAATGATCCAGAAGCTAGGAAACTGGGTCCTACATGAATTGAGAGAAAGAGACATTGCGAAACGTTTAACCATTTGTGAATTGCTGCTTCAAAGACAAAAACGGAAGTCGTTTTTGCATCGAATTGTGACTAGCGATGAAAAATGGATTCCTTACGATAATCCTAAGCGTAAGAAATCATGATTATGTCCCGGCGAACCATCAACATCAACGCCAAAACAGGGTATTCGTGGAAGGAAGGTCATGCTGTGCATTTGGTGGGATTAAGTCGGTGTAGTGTATTATGAGCTGCTGCAACCGAGTCAAACCATCAATGCTTAACGCTGCTGACGACAATTATTCAATTTCATTCGAGCACTCAAAGAAAAACGCCCGCAATATGCTAAAAGACATGACAAAATAATTCTTCTCCATGACAATGCTAGATAACATGTTGCAACACCAGGGTAGGAAATCTTGGAGGCACTTGGATGGAATGTCTTACCCCGCCTGCCCTATTCACCAGACGTTGCTCCTTCAGATTGCGATTTGTTTCGGTCGATGCAGCATGGCCTTTCTGAGCAGCATTTCAGTTCTGGTGATAGATATCAAAAAGTGGCTTGATTTGTTGACTGGATTTGATGACTAAATCGTCTCGAAAGAACCTGAATTTTTCTATCGCGGCACCATGTGTTTTCCGAAAAGTGGGAAAAGGTTATAGTTTCCGAAGGACAATACTTTAAATAAGATATAATGTACCGTTCTTTTGAAATAAACATAAGTTTTTGTTGCAAAAAACATCGAGAATTAATTCAAGCACCTAATATATCAAAATTTGTCTAATAATTATCTAGCAACGTACGGTAAATTCAGAATGAAAATTGGATGTCAGGACTGTCTACATTAAATAGTAAATGTGTGTATCACAGCGCCATTGTATAGTTTTCCTTTTTA